ATCGTTTGTCAAGCCTGGAGGTGCTAGGTGTCACACACCACAAATTTGGCACGTGTTATCGTGGTACTTTATTTGGGAATTCTATATTTAAACCCAAAAGGCAGCACCATATCTCTAGGCACATCCTATTGCTATAATTGCTACCTTTTTTTTTTTTAATTATTAATTTATCAGATAATGATAATAAATTCACATACTTTTCGTGAACAATCTTATCGACAATCTATAAATACATTTCCTTATTCTTACCATTGTGAACATCAAGATAACAATTGAGAGAGATTATATAGATGCTAGAATGTAAAGCCTACTTTTATGGGTATTTATATCTGATTTTGATAATCATTACAGCGATGAAAAATTCATCCATTTCTCTTTAAAGTCGTTAAAATTAATTAAAATTGATAAATGTTTCGATTTCAAAAATAAAATTAATCAATTTCTCGCTTTCAGAAGGCGAAATTGATTACAATTAATAAATGATCTATTTTAAATGTAATTAATCAATTTTTTTTAAATAGAATTAAAAATAATAAATAAACACAATTAAATATTTCCTATATAAATTTTGATATTTGTAATGTTTATATATTGCTTAATATAACATTTTCTGTTTAATTTAATATCTGCTTTTAAATATCTCAACTATTTAATGATTGTTATACTATATTTATTAGTATATTTACCATAGTTTATTACACTCGTGAATGTTGGAAAATTGCTTAATTGCGACTCGTAAATATAGTAAATGGTTTCAGAAGATGCATTGAGAGATTTTAAAATATTTAAAATACTTAAAATATTAATTAAATTACATATATACGTATGTATTAAGTAAGGAAGCATAATATAATTTTCTAAAATAAAAAAAAATAAGGCTGTTTACCGTGTTTAATTTTTAAGAACCCTTACTTAATAGCAAACTCATATTATAAATAATTCATACTTAAATTATTAAGAGTTTTAAACTTTTCAATAATAGATTTCTTTAAATTTAAAAAAAAAAAACTATTATAGACGTTTTATCCTAAAGTTTTATAATAGTTTTTCCAATTCCAATTAAATTTATAAACAATAGTGAAAAAGTAGAGCCTTATAGAAAAAATAGAACAATTTTAAAATGATATATTTATAAGCAAACAGTCAGACAAACAAACAAACTACTTAGGAGACAAGTAATTAAAAAAAAAAAAAACTAAAGAGTAATTGACATATTGATAATCAAAAAGGCACCCAGGTATAATTTCCTAGCATCTCTTTATTCAATTAATTGTCTGCCTGTTCTGTGGTGAGATTTAATTACAGAATGTTCCACAAGACAAGAAATTTTCCCTGGGGGGAAATTACACACATACTAATGAAGTTTCTGAGATTTTTGGTCTTCTACGCTCTAATGATTTTCGTTTACAAAAGAATTATCTTTCTAGATGTAAATTTTTTCCTTTTTTTTCCCCTTTGTTTTTTTGTATTCTTCTTCTTCCCTTTTCTACAGTTTCTATTGCCCTTTGACGACGCCTCGAAGTTGTTGAAGTTTATTTGAAGAAACTTGATTTTTAATCGTTTAAGATCTTAGAATTAAACAAACCATTAAAAAACAACCTTTGTGTTTGTGTTAATTAACTAAAGAATTAACTAAGGATAAAGCCTTAAGTCAGTGTATGTTTACTCGATAATAAAACATAATTATCTTATAATAAAATGTATTATACAGTTGTTTAAGTGTCGAAAAATGTTTGATAAATTTATACATCATTAAAATGACCTATTATTCTTTAAATTAAATGATAATTAAATTTAAATTATTATTATTATTATTATAAAGAAAAATCTCATTAAACTATACTACAATATTTTAATTCTAATTATAATAATTGACAAGGATATTTAAGTCAACATGGAATAATTTACAGCGTGGTTTTATGTACTGTATATAATCAATATTGTTATAAAGAAGTATGCAAATTAAACGATTTTATCACACGCTGTTTACTGTGTATACAAATAATTTCAACGTTTATAAATATCAGATTTATTTTGTGAAAATTTTGAAGGATAATTCATCTTCCTACGTATCAATATTATCGTTCATTCCTAGTTTTATAAACATAATCATTATTCCAGCATTTTACTAAGTCGAAATTATCTTACATTACCAGATACAGGCAGGATAATAAGCTATTATTCCTACATTTTGCAAGGAATAATTAAGCTGTTAATTAAAGCAGCACCTGTTTAATTATCCCATAATTCGTACATTTTCTCAATTATCCTATTAACATACCACGAATTTTTTTTTCTAAAAAAGAAATTATCATCTCATCAGGGTGAATAATTAAAATTCTAGCTAAAGTAAAAAATTATATATATATAAATATATAAATAAAAGTATAAGGTAACAATAAAAACTGAATTTTTTCCTGATTTTAAGTTTAAAAATGATTATCATCAGATAAAAAAAAAAGAAATAAATATCTTCTCTACCACTTAAGATAATGGGGGTTAGAAAGGGAGTGATTCTTGACCACCCTCGACAAGTAATTCTTAGTGAGTTATGGTTCTGTCAGAGGATAAAGGTCCATAAACAGGAAAAAGGTGAGAGGAACACCCGCGGTCCAAACAAAAGCTGGGGGAGTGCTTTTGATTAATTGGACAGTTGGCTTTGCACGTGCGGGGATGAAGATGGTGATGACGATGATGATGTCATCCGCGTCACTAACCCCCACTACAGGAGGAAGAAAGAAAAAAAAAGGAGGCAATTTGCAATTGCTCCCAACAGATGGCGAAATAACGCTATTTAATATATTAATTTTTGAATTAGTTCATATTATCAATAACAGATGGCAAAGGAGTATTTAATATATATATATATATATATATACTTTTTAAGCAAAGTTATTTTTTTAATCTTAAATTATTAAAAAGTGTAACATTTATTAAATTAAATTAATTAAGATTTTAAATAAATAAAAAAATGTTTGTTTGAATAAATATTCTGGGATCTTATGCTGCTTCCATCTGTTGGCGGTATTTAAAACTAATCGGTAATTAATAATTTGAATTAAGTTAAGATTTTAATTGCTTTTTTTATATTAACTAAAAAGTGAAAGTACGGGGTTTAATCTCTTCCGTAACGCCATCTTTTGGCTAAATTTGTAACTAAAGGTAAATTAATAAAGAATTTAAGTGTAAGTGATTTAAAATTAATTTTTATTATTGTTATTTTTTTAGGAAAAAAATTTGATTTAGGGTGAGCTCCTGTAGCGCCATCTGTTGATTCATTTAAAAATATTTGAAAATTAATATGTAAGGAAAAAAAAAATAAGTTCAATAAAAATACACTCTGCATCTCATTTAGCATCTGCTACACTTACCTCAGCTACTTTTATTTTTATAACAATTTTTATTTGTTCTTATAATGGAGTAAAACCGTGATGAAACATTCATAATGGTCCAATTTTCTTCCAATGAAAGGCAGCTGGCGAAAAAATTTTGCATTTCCAATTTTTTTTTTCCCCCTTCAAATTTATTCACTTCATTTCAATAGAAATGTGACGAAAATCGTTAGATTTATGAATATATTTAAATATCCAATATTAAAAAACATTATAAAATTTAAATAAGAAATTTTTATTCATTAATAACAAATTTAAAATGAAGTTTAATTAACTCAACTCTCTTAACTCGTTTCATCGCCGCTAGATGACGACACTAATCGACGTTTGGTCAAACAGGTGAAAATAATTAATTATAATAAAGTTTCAATTAATAAAATTTATCATCGAATTTTTAATGAATTATATAAAATTTATTTCGAATTATTTAATTTTCTCGAAAAATATGTTTTTAAAGTTATATTTTCGGTTATAATTTGGAAATATTTCTTGTATAGTTTATAATTAGGACAATAGATGGCGAATGTGTCGGCGTCGCTTCGGTTTCTGTGACGTAATAATGGTTTAAATTTTTAAATCGCTAATTATAATGAAATTGATTGTTTTCAATTATAAACAGCTGATTTTTAAAAAGAAAAAATCGATTTCAATAGAAGAAAATGGACGATTTCTTTAAGTGAATGGCTGTATATAACTAAGAAGTTTTTTCGTGTAATGGAAGATTCGTAGTTTGAAAACAATTTAGATTTTTCTTGTACTTCCATTAGGGTGGAGATATCATTACTCAATCAATGTTCTGCAATTTAGTTGTTAGAAAAGTAAGAAAAAAATTATATATATATATATATATATATATATATATATCCATCTGACAAGCTCCCG